CAAGGACAACCAAGGCAGGAGACACAGCCTGTTGAACATACCACAACCCATTCAATTTAACCTGAAAAATGTAAGGGATGAAGATAAACTGGATGAGACACTGGTAGGGAAATATGTTGTAGTAGATTTGCTTGATAGGTGGGTGGCAAGTTTGAAATATAGATTAAAGTTGAAGAAAGGCAACCCTAACAAAATCACAAGAAAACAATTTGATAAACTAAACAATAGGGAAGAATGGAGCAAAGAAACAGGTATTGATGAAACACCGCTGAAAAGAAGACGCAAAAAAAGATGGAGGTAAAGAGTTTGATATAATACATAGAACTGAATTGTTTGATAGATTATTTAAGAGATTAGTTGAAAAACACCCAGACCTGAAAAATAATTCAAACCTTAAAGACTACACAACTGCCATCAAGATTTTGGACATCAGTGATGTAACAAACACAGGAGGAAGTGGGGGCGAAACAAAAAAGAAACTGAAGGATGGGAATGAGGTTGGAATGTATCACTACACCATCAATACCGAAATGGATGTTGCAAGTGATAATTTGGTTGATGCCATCAAGAATAGGAGACATACTGATGGTGAATGCTGGATTAACACACTGATAGACCATTATGAAGAGACACTGATGAATACTAAAAGGTGGGAAAGCAAAAGAAATTTTAAAACTAATGAATTTAAGTGAAGAAGAGTTTAAAGAGAATGGGGCATCAGTTAAAGATATGGAACTGGTGTTTGAAGAATTTAAATAAACAGTCAGATTGTAAAACTGTATTGGTCAAAAGATTTATACCTATGACCCTTTGAATAAGAACAAAAACATAACCGTATTGTTTGGACTGATTAAGGGCAACCACATTTACACAATGAATGACAACATCAAGAGCATAGCGCAGAGGGATTTAGAGGAAGATATGAAACTAAATGCTTCTACTTACTTTCATTTAAATAGCAAGGAGAAGCCTGTTAAGTATGATTTTTTCAATGGCATTGATGACATAATGGGTATAGTTAAAGAGAATGAAGATGAAGAAGAGGAAATTAATTTAGTTAGTGGCAAAAACTTGAATACCATTTTTTGTGAGTTCAAGAGGGCAAAGTATGAGCCTAAAGTAATGATGGGAGCAGGTGGCAATATAGCATCACTCAAGGTAAAGTTTAATGGGTTGATTTTGAACATCAGAAGTCAAAGTTTGATAGATTGCGCAGTGGATACTTGTATTGATAGTAGAGATGCTGATATGTTTAATAAAGTAAATGAGGCATTTTTCAATTTCAATAAGGGTATGTTCAATCCTAATCATAAGTCATATTATCATAGTGATGACTTGAACATATTTTCAGTGGCACATAGCATAGCACCCAGTGGATATTTTGAAAGCTTCATTGAAGGAAAAAATACTCACATTGAATTAGATAGGAGGAAAACCTACACTAAATCTACAATGGATGTGTTTGAAGTGCATGTCTTTTCGGAATTTGATATTTGGAGAAAGTATGATTATTCAAAGAATGATTTTAACAAGATAAATGCTTTAACCTTATATCTTGTTAAAAGCAAACGGATAAATCTATTTTTAAGTAGGACTTATAACTTGATTTACGGTAAGTTTTTGAAAAAATATACTGAACATGTTGAAATTATCTATTACAAAATTCCATCTAATACATACAAAGTTAATTACAAACAACTGATTTTCATGAACTGTGGGAATTAAAACTGGATGAGGATGAGGACGCCTCGCCAGAGGCTCGCGAGGCTCTTATCAACATTGGCTTATTAGAAAAGCAAACTCACACTGCTAAAAAATCAGTTGTGTTTTCAAAACTGGTTCATGCCTTTTATTATCAGGAAAAATACGGTGGTGATATAAGTATCATTACTGAAACTAAATGGGATGGTGAAGTGAATGATAATGATGATGATTGTTTGCTTGAATTTGATGATAAAGGTAATGTCATTGAACCTATGATTAATGAGAAAGATATTCCCGTTTTTGTTGATGAATGTAAGCATTATGTTTTAAACATTTCCGATACAAAAACTTTGATGAATGGATATAGGTTTATCAAAGAACTGATTTTACAACATCATAATTTTGATATGAATGAGGCTTATGAAACACTTATGAGGGATGGTGTCACAGTGTATTCAGAAAACTGATGCCTTTGTGATTGATAAATGTAATCTGTGTAAAGCAAAGGGAGTGTTAAAATTTGGTAGTGAGATTGGAGACTGGCGGTGGTCTGATAAATTTAATTTTCCTAAGAAGGCATTTAGCAAACAAGCCAGTATTTTATGTGATATAACTGAATATGAAAATAAAACAGGTGATGTCAAGGATGAATGGAACACTGACGAAATCATAGATGAACATATTATGACTAATAAGAGGTTGGTGATACGGGCATCACTACCGGGCTCTGGAAAATCATACATATGTAAGCATTTACAAAATAGAAATTACAAAGTTTTATTCGTTGTGCCTACCAATAATTTAAAACAAGAATGCGAAGCCGAAGCAATGACAATAAATAAATTCTTTGGAATATCTTATGGTGATGAGAAACTGGAAAAGTGTGATTATTCTGATATTGATGTCATAGCTTTTGATGAAATATATTTTCACAATGTGGGCAAGTGGGCTTTGATATGGGACTTCTGTAAGAACAATCCTGATAAAATTGTACTAGCAACTGGAGACACAAAACAACTGAAAAACCCAGAGAGAGTAAGCAATACTATTAGTTTTGAAAAATATGGCGACCATTGTATAGATTTAATTTTCAAAAATAATATTATGCTATATATATATGAATGTAAGAGACTGAAGACTGAAGAATATAGAAATATATTGAAAGATATTAAGAGATTGATTTTTAACAATGAACCGATACTTAATATCATTGAACCATATTTTGGATGGAGTGAGCGCAATGAGATATGCGAAAACAACATTGCTTATACTAACAAGACTTGTAGAGAGGTGAGTAGCAGGATGAGAAAAATGAAAGGCATAGATGATGAATATGTTGTGGGGGAAGAGGTGATATATAGAAAATACATTAAGACTAAAGGCAAGAAATTTAATGTGAATTTTAATTTTAGGATTGTAAATATTATTGGTAATGATGTTGTTTTAGAAAATGTGGCTACTAATGAGAAGCAACGGATAGAACTGAAGTTGTTAAGAAAGCATTATATATATGCTTACTGTTACACCTGTCATAGCAAACAAGGCTGTTCAGTGGATGATGATATTGTGATATATGACTGGTGTAAGTGGTATTGCTGTAAGAACTGGTATTGGACTGTAATTACAAGAGCAAGATATTTAAATAGAGTTAAGTTTTACAAATATGATGCTGATGAAAATGATATGACTAAGATAAGAGTAGAGACATATTTTTAGAATAAAATTATGAACTATGAAGAGCAAGATAAGAAAGCAGGTAGAGATGTAGAAGATGGGGATTATGTAGATGTAGATTTTTTGATGAACCTGATGAATACCCAGTGTGAAAATTGTAATGAACCATTGGTTATTGATTTTGAAGATGGCAAGGTTTCATCAAATATTAGCTGTCAAAGAGTTAATAATGATATTGGGCACTTCAAGGATAATTGTATAGGCTTGTGTGTTCAGTGTAATTGTGCTTTTTCAAATAAAATATCATTATAAATAATATGAGTAATAAGCAGATGATTATTAGTGATATTTATTTTGATAGAAGTGGCTATGGAATCTGGAAGCAAGGCTACTACTTTGAAAGATGCCAGAGAGACAGATAAAACTATTACTATGAAAGATGTTGAAGATTTTGTTAGAAAGAATGTTGAGATTAAGAGAAAGCAAAGGGGGCAGAACAGTTTTGTAGCCCCCCACAACAACCATACTTTTTCAACTTGATTTGTTTTTCATTTCAAAAAATGATATTGAAGCAACACAAGAGTTTAGAGCTGAGTTGGTAATGATTGATGTATTAAGTAAATATGCTGTATATAGTAGTCCCTATTAAAAGCAAAAACCCAGCCGATGTTATCGCTGGAACAATGGAAGGGCTAGAAAAGATGAGGGCAAAACCAAAACTCATATACACTGATGATGAAGGTAGTATAAGTGGTGCTGACTTCAAACAACTAGTAGAAGATGAAGGGATTGAACTTTATAGAACTAGAGGTCATCCAGCCTTCGCTGAAAGATTTATTAGGACATTTAAAGATAAACTTTTTAAACGGGTTGACAATGATGAGAAGAAAGGAACCACTAATATTCAATGGATAGATTACATAACCAAGATTTTATTAACATACAACAACAAGGACGTCCATAGTGCTACTGGACTAACTCCAAATGAAGCAAGGGAAGAAAGGAATGAGTTTAAAGCAAAACTTAATGTTTCAGTAAAAGCAAAGAAGGAAATAATATACCCTTCTTTAGAAGTAGGAGACCGAGTAAAGATAATGAGAAAGAAAGCAATTACAGAGAAAGAAAGAACTTCCCACTGGCTGAAGGGTTATTATGTTGTGCAAGAGATTGCAGAAAAGTTGAACCAAACATATTACAAATTAACTGATTACCCAAGATTGTTGATGAGGCATGAAATTTTAAAGATTTAGTGTTTTTAGAAAGCCTTGTAAGCATTTTTTCCCATCAGATGGTTGATTTGATGTGCTCTTTTGATTTCAGGGTTTTGTGTTTTGCCCTTCATTTGTTTTTCCCCACGAATTTGTGTTTGGCACGTTTGGGTCATTTGCTGGGATTACTCTATGTTCCTTTGTCCTTCCTCGCCTTGGCTTTGTCATCAATCTCTTCTTCATCCTGTTGTCGGGCGCTCAGCTGCTGGGAATATGCCAGTCGGAGGTTTGAAGCCACATGTTCTTGGAGAGCTTGACCTTGGAATTTGTTTCAATTTGAGCATATTTGAGCACCTTTGACATTCTCAATTGGAAAGCTACAGAAATTAGCTCTTTCATTTTGCGCTTGGAATTTTGTGTCATTTCTCAGCATCTTTTCCTCACACACTCGGGCACGCTTTTTAGCTTAGGGGTGTCTGCATGTTCATGGCGCAAATCCGTCTTGTCGCTTGCCTCATCATCCTTGCATTGAGCGCTGGAGCCGCAGACACCAAGAGCACAGGCGCTGTGGAAGCCTTGCAAACTATGAGTTGGGGAAACTTCCCAGAAAATCAGACCACGGCAGGCAATCTCCGAAGGGCCACCAATTGTTGCCGCTGCTACCACCACAAGAAGAAATGTTGGTTGAAAAGCTGTTGTTCACCAATCCAGTTGCTCGCCAATTTTGGCGACGAATAAAGTGCGAGAACGCGCTTGCTTCGCCAACAGGGCGACTTGCAAAACAGTGCTTGGGCAGATCCTTTGTGATTGAAAAGGTCTGCATGTACAGTATATAGGTAGGCATTGTTTCAATAGAGCATTCATGCCAGTGAGCCTTCACAACCTTGACATTCAGTGCGTTCATGCCTGATACAAAGACAAACCCTTCCAAAAACTTGAGAAGACTGGCACCAACAAGTCTGGACGCACACCACACAAATCTTTTTCACGCCATTTCGCCCCAAAAGTTTGGATGGCTGTGCCATTTGCATGGCGCTGAGGTTAAGAAGACATGGTCATCAACAAGTTCATGAAGGGTGGTTTGGGCATGGCAATTGCGGATTAAGAGAGATTTGGGGTTGAGAAAGATGTGATGTTGTTGTGATATGCTAGTTTGTATGTAGGCTGGTATGTATGCTGGGGGGCGGGATAGTATATTGGCTGAGGCTTCCCCTATAGGGGGAGACTGTGGTAATTAATCCCATATTCTTCATAATAAATGATTATGAAAATTATGTTGATTATCCCCATAAATTTGATAAACTAATTCTACTAAATTTATGTTGCAATTATATATTTTATAGGACCATTTCCAGCAATTATGATTTCTAGAAATAACACCTATGAAATAGATAAGGTAAGATGATGTATATTTGTATATGCTTTGATGAAAATTATTCAATACAATTATGATGATGATTATATTGTATATGTTTTACGGATGAGATGGATGAGATGGGTTGATATGATGAGGTTGTTATGGTTTATGTTATTGGTTTTATTAATAGTAGGTTGTTAGGATTTTGCTATTGTTGTTTTGTTTGCTTTGTTTTTGTTTGTATTTTGTTTGTAGTAGGTTGTTTTGATTTTGTTATTGTTGTTATGTTTATGGTATAATCTATGGAAAAAGGATTTAAAGGGAAAGTGTCTTATATGTTAGGTGAACTGTGGAAGATACAAAGAAAGTGTTCAAAATGTAGAAAGGTAAAGCCTGTGGGAGAGTTCGGAGAATATAAGCAGTGTAGCAGTTGCTTAAATTATTGTAGGTGATATTCAAAAAATAATCCTGAAAAAAGGAGAGACTGGGCAAAAGAAAATGTTGAAAAAACAAAGGAACTGAAACAAACAAAAGTCCATTGTGATGCTTGTAAAGTTGAAATTCAAAGGGCAGGTGGTCAAAACATATTCAATCAGAAGACCACCTTACAAATATTGGTAAAGATGATAGAGAATATTTTGAAAAAACAAAATGGATGACCTTCCCTGTATGTAATGATTGTGAAAGTTCAAGAGACACACACAAACAATAAAGCATCAGGAGAATTTGATGAAGAAGGAAAATTAGATTTTATCTTGTGAAAATATTTATAAGATGAAATGTGTTTAGGTTGTTATGTTTTTTTTGGGTTGTAGGCTGGTGGAAATTTATGTTATATTAATCTGGGCGGTGCGGGAAAAAGATAAGACAGGTCTTTGCTATATAACTCTACCATGGTTCAATGATCTTCAAATGGTGTTTAAACGTGTTTTTTTTTTTGTGTGATGGTTATTGTGATGGTTAAATGCTAATAGTGTAACGCCATTCGCCATGGGTTTACTGCGGTTTTAATGATGTTTAAATGGTGTTGAATGATAGATGTGAAATTATGCCACCCAAACCCATTGTTGGATCCCGCTTCGCAGGGCCAAAGTGGCCGCTCCAGCTCGAGGATACTCGGCATGTTTCAATTGGGATGCAATCAACTCATCAACTGCTGGATGTTGGATTCTTGGAGTTCCCAGTTTTGAGACACTCCCAGCCTTAAAGCAAAGCTCTTTTTTGGTCCCAAATATCGTATCCTGAAGGGTAGGCTTCCACAAGACGATCGTGAACCCGTGTGAACCCGTGCTTCCAAATAGAAACTCTTTGGGGTTGGCAGTCCCACTCTTGGGTGCATTTTTTCAGATTTCGGTTGATTCCTATCCTGCAACCATCACCAGAGCCACCATCCAGCCATAGGAGCCACTCCAATGCCCACGTCCAAAGATGACATGATTGTGGCCTTGGAAAAGTTGGGTCTGGAGGTACGGAGCGCCAGAGTTTCATTGGATGCTTGGAAGCTAAGTATGGCGACATGTCTAAACATGTCTAAACATTTGAAAACCCTTCAAAAACAGAAGAAGACTTTCAGAGGATTGCCCCAACCCCTAACTGAACCATTGGGGACACCCCCATGACATCCTGGCATATCCATCTTGCGCCTGACAGGTCAAACTGTGCCACGTCCGGGAGTTGCGTGCCGTTCTCTTTGAAGCGCGGCGCTTGCAAGAGCTTCAACGCGAAGATCTCTTGCAAGAGGCCCATCTAAACGTCCAGACTTCTAGACCTAAGGAGGGCAGGGGAAATGCAAGTCAAACTGAAAGCAATCATCTGGACCAACAAGCTGCATTCTCGAAAAATCGGGCTTCAAAGTGTTGTGTTTTTCTCTCAAAATAGTAAAGACCAGGAATTGCAACGTCTTGTGGTGCACAATCAGATTGCAGTGTTGAAACAGAAGCTCAGCATCCTGCTTGGGCTTCCTGTTGCCACTTTTTAAATCCGTTTCATAGCAGGGAAGCAAATCAAGTATGTAATTACTTTGGTAGTCACTTGTTTGCGGGATGTTTGCACTTCAAGATGAATCACTGGCCACCTACTCCACTGCAACTTGACGTTTGGGGTGCACACTCCTTCCAAAGAACGATTTTGCTGTGCTCTTCATTGTTGGGTGGGCGTTTCACATGGACAAGGTGGGCCTATGCGGGTTCATGGTGCTGTCCTGTCTAGCAGGTGCGTGCTCGCGGCTTGCTTCCTATGGACGTGAACACCAACAGCGAAGTTCTGATTAGGCGCCAGAGGGTGGTGTCAGGGTCAAGCCCTGCAACGCTATGAAATCAAGCGAAATCAATGATTCAGCCACCATTTCGTGCAGCTTTTCTATCCGTAGAAGTGCTTCCCTAGCCTGGCGGTGTCATGGCCAGGTGTTTCTTGGAATCGACCTTTCCTGACACCTTGGAAAGCCACAACTCCAATGCTTGGACGAGGGAGCACTCACCAAGAAGTTCAGCAGATGAGGCCCGCCGTGAACGCTGCTGTTGTGCTCTTCTCCAAAGGTGTTGTGCAGACTCCGCAAGGGTTGAAAGACGACTTTCGCTGGCGCAGGATGGCTTCACCTTTCAGATCCTTACTCCCAGTCCGGAGCCGTTGTCGTTGCTGCTCAGCTGCCATTGAGGGATGGCCAGTGAGGGAACACATGCATAGCTGCAAAACCGTGAAGGTGCATTATGGATCATATGGTGGGTTTAAAGATGTTTAAAGATGTTTTAAGATGGTTTAACCATGTTTAACCATCGAAAAATGCGGAGTCAACAATCAAGAATTGGTGGGGTTATCATGGGACCGAACAACAACCAGTATTGTACCAGCTTGCGACCTGATCCACATGACGATGATGTGAGCAATTGACATTGTGTCTTCTGCCTTCCCCACAGGTTTTCAGGGAATCTGCATCCAAATATGCGGTATATCATATGGTATCATGATGAAGTGCTGCTGAAACAGGTTAAGCCTTGAAGGTTTTCAGAGGCCCTTGGCAGCTTGATGGCATCAGTCTGCCATAGTCTGCCCTCAGGTCTACTCTCTTCACCAATTCTGAGGTGAGACAGCTATTTTCGGGGAGCAGCAGGTGTCATGGCATGGTGGGTATGAAATGACCCCTGTTGGGTTGATCTGTAATCTTTTGAACATTGACCATCGTTGAGTGGTGAGCAAGATTTTAAGGTCTCATTTTCAGGCCATTTGGCCTCAAAAAAGACTTGAAAATGGGCTGACTGGTGCCATCCATTTTCGCTCCCAAAAGCAAAGGATCCTGTGAGGATCCACCTAGCAACCAATTCTCGGCAGGAAGATTTGCTGAAACAATGCCATGCTCTTAGCCAAACTCGGCCATGGGGCCGGGGTGGCTGGGTTGTCAGCAATGTAATAAGAATATCATGAGATCAGCTGATCAGCTGATCCATGAAGAAAGCACATTCTGAATCATTCTGAACTGACCCACTGTTCCTCCAATAGTTATCCTGGAAGACAGACCCTTCAAAACATGTTCTACGACTTGTACCATTGTGTGCCTGGCAATCTCATATGAATCATTGGAAGACATCGCCCATCCAGTTTAAACGGCTTGACAGTCGCCAGATCAATCACGAACAACGGTGGTTACATCACCACTGTTGATGTATCTGCATCATGATCGGTTGTTGACGTTATTGCTGCATGATTGTTTGCTCATATCCCAATGGCATCAAAAGCATTTCTGTCTTGGTCAGGATTCCTACCGTTGATTTATATCAACCACGTTAAAAGGTAGTAACTCATAGTAACTCATCATCATTTGAGTGGGATCTGAAGCCCACTATTCCTTGCCCTGGGATCACGTGCCACTGGAAACTCTGAGGTAAGGCGAGGGGCTTGTGGAAAGAAGGTGTGGAGTGGGGGAGCCCCAGTCTTCGTGGGATGGTCATTAGGTATCAGGGTCTTGAACACAACCCTTAGATGTAAACACGAAAGAATGCCCATTCGGGAATCATTGTGATTTGACATGAACATCTGTCACATCTGCGAAAAAAGATGAACAAAGTATAACAAAGTCATCAGATGTCATCAGATGTCATCAGTCATCCCATAGCTTCATCCTTCAACTACAAGCTGTATTTCACCACATGACTGAAGGGTCTCCCAAGATCTCTCGATCTCAGGTCCAAGGGCAAAGGTTTCTTGGTGCGGGGACCTGTGGAGCTCCTGTGGAGCTCCTGCGACCCCCTGGGATCATGCAGATTGGGATAGGTCGGATAGGTGAACTGCCCAGTGAACTGCCCAGGTTTTCTGAAGGGCTGCATTTTGTCGTTTTTGTCAAGAGATGTCAAGATGTTTTAAGAGAAAGGTTCCGAATTTTGACAAGAGGACATATACTTTCCTCTCAAGTAGTGATTGGCTTCTAAGACAGTGACATTTACGACATGCTGCTTCATGGCCACTTTCACCCATGAAACCAGACTTTTTCTTACACTTGGCTCAATGCCATACCGTACGTTTTGCACCGTTTGAATACGTTTTGAAGATCATTTTTCCACCTGTATTCGATTCTCATTTCCACTGGGGTGAGCCAAGGCGCTCCTGCTGAAATTAGACAGCCGCAGAGAGTACTTGCAAAGTCTGCAGGACTGCAGTGGTAGCTCGCTCTTGTAATCTACATCATTCTACATCCAAGCAGTCCAAGATCTACAATTTATTGCAGTGGAGGAATCAGCTGTCATTCAGTCTGTGATTCTGCACTTACGGGTTGAATTTCAAGATCCAGCCATATCCAGCCTAACATACCCACACCGCTTCCAGAATGGTCCAGCACAGGAGGCAGGAGCATAGACGCCCTCGAACGCGTGCTAAAAAATGTCTGACCCAGACTTTTGGAGTGCCTGACATGTGCAAAACAAAAGAAGTTTGTAAAGATGATCCCTATCTCTTTCTTCCAGGAGTCGGGTTTACCTGTTTACCTAATCTGCCAGATTTTCGATATTTTTGGATTTTCGATTCTTTCTATTTGTTTCTGTCAGATTTCATCCTTCAGCCATTTTGGGTCTGCCTCCTGCCAAGCCAGTACCGATGCGCGTGTTTCCTGTGGCCGCGCTCGGCCTTGGTGGGGCTCTGCTGGGCAGAGCCACCAGCTGCCAGGGTGCCGGCGATGCATGTATAGTGGATCTAGTGGAACCGGATGAGAATCTCTTGCTACAGCACCAAAGAAGCTCCTTGGCGCTATGGCAATTTTGATGATTTGGAGCTGTATTCATTTGGATAGCTACGGCGGATTGATGGACACTTATTTTCGTGCTGAGACTAGTGATTTGTTGAGTCGGTCTTGAAATGTTGAAAGCTTGTAGGCAACCATGCTTCGAACGACAATTTTGACGCATTGTTCCAGTGTCCAGGTGCTGGTGCCAAAAGAGAGAAGCCGGTCGCATTGGCCTTGTCTGGTGGTGGTTTTTTAGCGCATAGCCACTCGGACATGCGAAGTGAACAACTCGGACATGCGAAGTGAACACTTCTGCTTGGTGCCTGTTTCGAAATGGTTTGAGACATCTGTTCTCACTACCGGTCATGTCCATAGTGTGCACCATAGATACCATAGTCATGTTTCCGTCACACCTTTGAGATCGGTGAGTTCCGCTCCCAGGTAGCTTGTCTGGCATCTTCGCAGCTTTACTGAGTTTCACCAGTATTCAGGAGCCAAGCAGCTCAGCCATGGCCAGTCTCAGAGATCTGTTCCGGGGAAACCATATGGGCATCAATATCGATCGAGTAGGAGTGAAGTGAAGGGCATTTTCCATTGCCAACTTAGATTATCAGGAGTGTGGCACCTTCCAACCAACGAACCTGGATCATGTGATTGATGCAGCAAGCACATGCTGATCATGCTGACATCTGCAGCCGCTGGGAGTTCAGCCACAACTCAGTGGCTTCCATCATCCCATCAATCAGATTTTGTAGCCATGGCAGACGCCTATGCACAGGCAGTCTCTTCCCTGCGTGAACAAGCAGAGAGGGCGACGGATTCACTGATGAAAAATGGTTTCTCGATTAAAAAGGGGGTTGGGGGGTCGTCTGTGCACGTCAAAAGTGGGTCGTTTGTGCACGTCAGACGTTGGTCGTCTGTGCACGTTATTGTTGTGTGATTTTGTCATTGTATCTCTGTAACATGATTCTTCTTCTAGCTTTTTTTAAACATCATCACACAACTCATCAATTTATGTTTTTTTCCCTCACATCTCTGTGTGGGGCTTTTGTTTTTAGGCTTGTATTCCTTGCCTTCTCCTCCTTCTCCTCCTGAGTTGCTTCTTTCTCTCTCAACTTCGCCCAAGTTGTCTCACACAATGCACACATTTCATCTCACACAACTCCGCTCATCTCACAACTCACACAACTCATCTCACACAACTCAACTCACTCAAGAGCTGCTTTCGTGTGGCCTTTGGTGGAGCTGCTTTCGTGTCCTCGCACTGAACTTCACCCAAGTTCTTTCACACAACTCATCTCACAACTCACACAACTCATCTCACACAACTCCACTCATCTCACAACACACACAACTCATGTCACGTATTTCCGACTTCATGGAGTTCTTTCACCCTTGTTCCCAGCATCAATGACGCTTTTATCACCCCCCCCACCCCCCCCAACCAAACCCCAAATGGCTGAGTCAAGTGATGATTTAAGTCCATGGATCCCACCCTTGTTCCGGATCCACCCTTGTTCCCAGCATCAGTGACGCTTTTACCACCCCCCCCACCCCCCCAACCAAACCCCAAATGGCTGAGTCAAGTGATGATTTAAGTCCATGGATCCCACCCTTGTTCCCAGCATCAATGACGCTTTTGTCACCCCCCCACCCCCCAAACCAAACCCAAATGGCTGAGTCAAGTGATGATTTAAGTCCATGGATCCCACCCTTGTTCCCAGCATCAATGACGCTTTTGTCACCCCCCCCCCCCAAACCAAACCCCAAATGGCTGAGTCAAGTGATGATTTAAGTCCATGGATCCCACCCTTGTTCCCAGCATCAATGACGCTTTTATCCCCCACCCCCCCAACCAAACCCCAAATGGCTGAGTCAAGTGATGATGTAAGTCCATGGATCCCACCCTTGTTCCCAGCATCCATGACGCTTTTATCCCCCACCCCCCCAACCAAACCCGAAATGGCTGGTTCCCAGCATCAATGTGCGCGGATGACCGCTCTTTGTGCGCGGATGACGCGGTTTCTGTGTGCGCGGATGACTCGTTTGCAATGTGCGCAGATGACTCGCTTTCAATGTGCGCAGATGACGCGTTAACCTAAAAAGGGTTGTGCGGTTTGTGCAGGAGGTTTATTGCGGAGCTGCAGAAGGAACTTAGCAGTTGATGATTCCACCCTTCAATTTTTGTTTGGGGTAGAATTCCATAGAATTCCCAGGTATTCCAAGAACCTTTGACCTTTGCTTTTTTCTTGGAAACACTCTGTTTGCATTTGCCGAACATGTTGAGCATCCATCCAGTACTGTGTCCCTCAGACCAGGAACTTTTGGTTTGTTGCATCAAGAATCTGAGGCCCACGCCTGTTGATTATGGGCGGAAGTGGAGTGGGCAAAAGCAGTGTGGTGAATGCTTGCTTCGGGCGGCACGTGGCAAACGTCAGTCACTCGATTCCCTGTACGTCATCCATCAGCCATTTTCCACCCACGGAGCGGTGCCCCATCCACTTGTATGACACCAAAGGATTTGAAACTCAGAGCAACAACGAGGATCGGGAAGGGAAATCGAATTCGGATCACTGCCCAAGGAAAAGAAAGACTTGCGTCGAGTTTTGAAACCGATCGGTGGAATGGCTGGCGCTTGAATTCTCGGCTGGCCGTTTAGGGACTGTGACACTCATGAAGGAGGGAATTCAATGGAATTCAGATCTCAAACCATCATCTATAGTCTATCAGATCTATCATCCCCTTGAAACAGGCTGAACAAACAATTCCAGTTTTGTGCTTTGGCAGGACATTCTGAGGGATCTCCGTCAGCTGCAAGAACGCCGAGACGCCAGTGCCAGTAAATCCTCACTGGAGCGGATGGCCGAACGGCTTCATGCAGTGTGGTGGGTGGTGGATTTCCGTTTGGAGTGGCCGCTTGCCATGATTTGCCTTGAACATCGAGGAGATGTCTCTGTTTTTTGGTGTTTGATTGATACTTTAATGATACGTTCATTGTCGTTAAAAATCCTTAAGTACAACTTGAGAGCAAAATCGCCTAGAATTGTTTGATGGCCACCTCATCAGCGTACTTTTTGGCCTTCCAAGGTGCTCTTCAACACAGTCGCCAAGCTTTTTGAAGATGATGAGGTGCCAATCTTCGTCATTTTGAACAAGTGCGACCGAGCAAAGGCTGAGGTGGAAGAATGCTTGAAGGCTACTTCGGATCGGTGCACTGGGGCAACAGCTGTGATCCCAGTGGTTGCTGCAGCAAAGCATGGTCCAATGTTGAAACTCTGCGAGGCTTGTGACAGTGAAGAGATTCTCATCATGTGCAACGCACGAAAGTCCTTCTATGTTTGTCAAAATTCTGACTGCCAACAGTGTGATCAACAGCAAAAAGTAAAACCGGCCTACGGCATCGAGAAACTGTTTGAAGAGACGACGGCACGCTTGCCAGTATTGGTCGCCAAGTCTTTTCGCCAAGCCGAACTGGAGTGTTTCCATGACCTGCAGCACAACGCTCACGCAATCATTGTTGGATTCGCAAGCGTCGCAGCTGCTGCTGGAGCAACACCAGCGCCATTCAGCGACTTTTTCCTCCTGACAGGCATTCAAGTGGCCATGGTTTGAAGCCACATGTTCTTGGAGAGCTTGACCTTGGAATTTGTTTCAGTTTGAGCACCTTTGACATTCTCAATTGGAAAGCTACAGAAATTAGCTCTTTCATTTTGCGCTTAGAATTTTGGGTGTCTGCATGTTCATGGCGCAAATCCGTCTTGTCGCTTGCCTCATCATCCTTGCATTGAGTGCTGGAGCCGCAGACACCAAGAGCACAGGCACTGTGGAAGCCTTGCAAACTATGAGTTGGGGAAACTTCCCAGAAAATCAGACCACGGCAGGCAATCTCCGACGTGCCACCAATTGTTGCCGCTGCTACCACAAGAAGAATTGTTGGTTCAAAAGCTGTTGTTCATGAATCCAGTTGCTCGCCAATTTTGGCGACGAATAAAGTGCGAGAACGCGCTTGCTTCGCCAACAGGGCGACTTGCAAAACAGTGCTTGGGCAGATCCTTTGTGATTGAAAAGGTCTGCATGTACAGTATATAGGTAGGCATTGTTTCAATAGAGCATTCATGCCAGTGAGCCTTCACAACCTTGACATTCAGTGCGTTCATGCCTGATACAAAGACAAACCCTTCCAAAAACTTGAGAAGACTGGCACCAACAAGTCTGGACGCACACCACACAAATCTTTTTCACGCCATTTCGCCCCAAAAGTTTGGACAGCAGGTCAACTGACTGGAAGCTTCAGTGGCATGGGCGCAATGGGTCTTGCTGGCAGGTTGCTGGGATCCCTGATGAAACTGATCCCCGGCTTTGGATCGGTGATCGGTGGCGTTTGCAATGCCGGCCTCGCTTCGTCCTTGACCGGTGCCATGGGTTTCCTATTCAAGGAGATGTTCAAACGGATTCGCTCCAAGGCCCTCTTTGGTGAGATGACCTTTGATGACCTTTGTCAGGTGATGAATGTGCAGGAGCAGAAGGAATTCTTCATGGCAAACTTCTTGGGGCTTCAGAGGGAGCCTCTCCAACAAGTACATCTACAGAGGAGACCTACCCACATTGTCAATGTCAATGTTGGGTTCTACATGGTTCTACAGGTTTAAGAAGTATGAAGTTAGTGTCTTCCGCCCCCAGATGTTCCATGTAGAGCGCACTCAAGTCTTAATTTCTCCCAGGCAGCACTCGGGGAATATTCTGAAGATTTGGTGTAGTTGGCAGATGGGAGCCCTAACAGCCCAGCGATTTGAATCATTTCTGCTTCGTTATTTTGAGCCCCTTCTCCATGCTATTGCCATTGGGAGGAGCCTCGTGGAACAGGTGGCAGCAGAAGGAGCTGAGACTGAGAATTAGAGGATGCTGATTCAGCCCGCTGGGCAAGTTGTGCCTGAAGAAATTGATGTACCGATTTCGTACCTATGATTTGAACACAGCATGTAGCACTGGGGGTGATCTGCTGTTGGCAATCAAATTGAGGCTGTGCCTGTTTGCATTCGTCAGCTGCGCAGTCCCCAGTGCATCCAATGCACGGAATTCAAGACTAGTGCCCCATGGTCCGGCCCAAAGGATGCTGGACCATGCTGCTGTGATGCTGTTGACAGCCGCTGCGGCATGGAAGTTCTGTGATCATTTCTACCTCAAACAACGTGGCAAGAGAATCGAAAAGAATCCCGGTGCTTCCGCTACCTGGGAGAGATGATTTTCGATTTGAGGTCTATCAGTGCAGAGCCAAGTAAGCGCAAAAGCATGCAAAAGCCAAAATGGTTTGCACCACTTTCACACTACCATCCCAGATACGGAGTCACATCATTCTCCAAAGCTTATTTGGAATTATATATATATATATACCAGTAGTACCGCACAAGGCGGTGGCGGAAGTTTCAAAAATAGGAAACCTATAGGAGAGATTGGTTGTTGTGAATCAGGGATGGCAGAGCGAAGCCACTGATGGACCGAAAGGTGCTTGAGGTCTCCTGACTTTCTCTCTCTTTCTGTCTCTTTCTCTGACTATCTACCCTGTCTATCTGTGGTGCAGTGTCATTCAGTGTAATGTAGTGTAGTGTAATGTAGTGCGGTGTAGTGGAGTGTAGTGGAATGTAGTGTAGTGTAGTGTAATGTAGTGTAGTGTAATTTAGTGTAGTGGAGTGTAGTGGACTGTAGTGGAGTGTAGTTGTGTAGTTGTAGTGTAGTGGAGTGTAGTGTAGTGTAATGTAGTGAAGTGTAGTGGAAGGTAGTGTAGTGTGGTGTAATGTAGTGTAGTGTAGTGGGGCGCAGTGTAGTGTAATGTAGTGTAGTGTAGTGTAGTGTCATTTAGTGTAGTGTAATTTAGTGTAGTGGAGTGTAGTGGAGTGTAGTTGTGGTGTAGTTGTAGTTGTAGTTGTAGTTGTAGTTGTAGTGGAGTGTAGTGTAGTGTAACGTAGTGAAGTGTAGCGGAAGGTAGTGTAGTGGAGTGTCGTGTAGTGGAGTGTAGTGGAATGTAGTGTAGTGTAGTGTAATGTAGTGTAGTGTAATTTAGTGTAGTGGAGTGTAGTGGACTGTAGTGGAGTGTAGTTGTGTAGTTGTAGTGTAGCGGAGTGTAGTGTAGTGTAATGTAGTGAAGTGTAGTGGAAGGTAGTGTAGTGTGGTGTAATGTAGTGTAGTGTAGTGGGGCGCAGTGTAGTGTAATGTAGTGTAGTGTAGTGTAGTGTAATTTAGTGTAGTGTAATTTAGTGTAGTGGAGTGTAGTGGAGTGTAGTTGTGGTGTAGTTGTAGTTGTAGTTGTAGTTGTAGTGGAGTGTAGTGTAGTGTAACGTAGTGAAGTGTAGCGGAAGGTAGTGTAGTGGAGTGTAGTGTACTGGAGTGTAGTGTAATGTAATGTAGTGTAGTGTAATTTAGTGTAGTGTAGTTTAGTGTAGTGGAGTATAGTGGAGTGTAGTTGTATAGTTGTAGTTGTAGTGTAATGTAATGTAGTGTAGTGTAATTTAGTGTAGTGTAATTTAGTGTAGTGGAGTGTAGTGGAGTGTAGTTGTATACTTGTAGTTGTAGTTGTAGTGTAGTGGAGTGTAGTGTAGTGTAATTTAGTGTAGTGGAGTGTAGTGGACTGTAGTGGAGTGTAGTTGTGTAGTTGTAGTGTAGTGGAGTGTAGTGTAGTGTAATGTAGTGAAGTGTAGTGGAAGGTAGTGTAGTGTGGTGTAATGTAGTGTAGTGTAGTGGGGCGCAGTGTAGTGTAATGTAGTGTAGTGTAGTGTAGTGTCATTTAGTGTAGTGTAATTTAGTGTAGTGGAGTGTAGTGGAGTGTAGTTGTGGTGTAGTTGTAGTTGTAGTTGTAGTTGTAGTTGTAGTGGAGTGTAGTGTAGTGTAACGTAGTGAAGTGTAGCGGAAGGTAGTGTAGTGGAGTGTCGTGTAGTGGAGTGTAGTGGAATGTAGTGTAGTGTAGTGTAATGTAGTGTAGTGTAATTTAGTGTAGTGGAGTGTAGTGGACTGTAGTGGAGTGTAGTTGTGTAGTTGTAGTGTAGCGGAGTGTAGTGTAGTGTAATGTAGTGAAGTGTAGTGGAAGGTAGTGTAGTGTGGTGTAATGTAGTGTAGTGTAGTGGGGCGCAGTGTAGTGTAATGTAGTGTAGTGGAGTGTAGTGTAGTGTAATTTAGTGTAGTGGAGTGTAGTGGAGCGTAGTGGAGTGTAGTTGTGTAGTTGTAGGGTAGTGGAGTGTAGTGTAATGTAATGTAGTGAAATGTAGCGGAAGGTAGTGTAGTGTAGTGTAATGTAGTGTAGTGTAGTGGAGTGTAGTGTAGTGTAATGTAGTGTAGTGTAATTTAGTGTAGTGGAGGGTAGTGGAGTGTAGTTGTGTAGTTGGCCCACCGTTCATAGAAGGCCGTGGCGTTTTTCTTGTTTTTTGGTCTCTTTGCAATGGTTTTTACAGCATTTTGTGTTGTTCTCGCCGTGCCTATGGTCCGTTTTTCAAGTTTTTTTTCTCCTATTTCTTGTTTTTTTGTTTTTGTGTGTTTTTTTTTTGGGGGGTTCGGGGGGGTTATAACGTTCTTTCGCGTGCGTTCTACTTGACTCCGTTGTGTTGATGCTACGTTGTGAACTTTCTTCCTAGACCTTTACACGCTCTTGATGCTACGTTGTGAACCTTCTTAGACCTTTACACGCTCTTGATGCTACCAGTATTCAGGAGCCAAGCAGCTCAGCCATAGCCAGTCTCAGAGATCTGTTCCGGGGAAACCAGTATATGGGCATCAATATCGATCGAGTAGGAGTGAAGTGAAGGACATTTTCCATTGCCAACTTAGATTATCAGGAGGGTGGCACCTTCCAACCAACAAATCTGGATCATGTGATTGATGCAGCAGGCACATGCTGATCATGTTGACATCTGCAGCTGCTGGGAGTTCAGCCACAACTCAGTGGCTTCCATCATCCCATCAATCAGATTTTGTAGCCATGGCAGACGCCTATGCACAGGCAGTCTCTTCCCTGCGTGAACAAGCAGAGAGGGCGACGGATTCACTGATGAAAAATGGTTTCTCGATTAAAAACCGGGTTGTGCGGTTTGTGCAGGAGGTTTATTGCGGAGCTGCAGAAGGAACTTAGCAGTTGATGATTCCACCCCTCAATTTTTGTTTGAGGTAGAATTCCATAGAATTCCCGGGTATTCCAAGAACCTTTGACCTTTGCTTTTTTCTTGGAAACACGCTGTTTGCATTTGCCGAACATGTTGAGCATCCATCCAGTACTGTGTCCCTCAGACCAGGAACTTTTGGTTTGTTGCATCAAGAATCTGAGGCCCACGCCTGTTGATTATGGGCGGAAGTGGAGTGGGCAAAAGCAGTGTGGTGAATGCTTGCTTCGGGCGGCACGTGGCAAACGTCAGTCACTCGATTCCCTGTACGTCATCCATCAGCCATTTTCCACCCACGGAGCGGTGCCCCATCCACTTGTATGACACCAAAGGATTTGAAACTCAGAGCAACAACGAGGATCGGGAAGGGAAATCGAATTCGGATCACTGCCCAAGGAAAAGAAAGACTTGCGTCGAGTTTTGAAACCGATCGGTGGAATGGCTGGCGCTTGAATTCTCGGCTGGCCGTTTAGGGACTGTGACACTCATGAAGGAGGGAATTCAATGGAATTCAGATATCAATCAATCATCATCTATAGTCTATCAGATCTATCATCCCCTTGAAACAGGCTGAACAAACAATTCCAGTTTTGTGCTTTGGCAGGACATTCTGAGGGATCTCCGTCAGCTACTGCAAGAACGCCGAGACGCCAGTGCCAGTAAATCCTCACTGGAAGAGCGGATGGCCGAACGGCTTCATGCAGTGTGGTGGGTGGTGGATTTCCGTTTGGAGGTGGCCGCTTGCCATGATTTGCCTTGAACATCGAGGAGATGTCTCTGTTTTTTGGTGTTTGATTGATACTTCAATGATACTTTCATTGTCGTTAAAAATCCTTAAGTACAACTTGAGAGCAAAATCGCCTAGAATTGTTTGATGGCCACCTCATCAGCGTACTTTTTGGCCTTCCAAGGTGCTCTTCAACACAGTCGCCAAGCTTTTTGAAGATGATGAGGTGCCAATCTTCATCATTTTGAACAAGTGCGACCGAGCAAAGGCTGAGGTGGAAGAATGCTTGAAGGCTACTTCGGATCGGTGCACTGGGGCAACAGCTGTGATCCCAGTGGTTGCTGCAGCAAAGCATGGTCCAATGTTGAAACTCTGCGAGGCTTGTGACAGTGAAGAGATTCTCATCATGTGCAACGCACGAAAGTCCTTCTATGTTTGTCAAAATTCTGACTGCCAACAGTGTGATCAACAGCAAAAAGTAAAACCGGCCTACGGCATCGAGAAACTGTTTGAAGAGACGACGGCACGCTTGCCAGTATTGGTCGCCAAGTCTTTTCGCCAAGCTGAACTGGAGTGTTTCCATGACCTGCAGCACAAAGCTCACGCAATCATTGCTGGATTCGCAAGCGTCGCAGCTGCTGCTGGAGCAACACCAGTGCCATTCAGCGACTTTTTCCTCCTGACAGGCATTCAAGTGGCCATGTTTACGAGTCTTGCAAAACTCTTTGAAGTTCAGGTTTGTCCCCGGACAGCAGGTCAACTGATCGGAAGCTTCGGTGGCATGGGCGCAATCGGTGTTGGTGGCAGGTTGCTGGGATCCCTGATGAAACTGATCCCCGGCTTTGGATCGGCGTTCGGTGGCGTTTGCAATGCCGGCCTCGCTTCGTCCTTGACCGGTGCCATGGGTTTCCTATTCAAGGAGATGTTCAAACGGATTCGCTCCAAGGCCCTCTTTGGTGAGATGACCTTTGATGACTTTTGTCAGGTGATGAATGTGCAGGAGCAGAAGGAATTCTTCATGGCAAAGTTCTTGGGGCTTCAGAGGGAGCCTCTCCAACAAGTACATCTACAGAGGAGACCTACCCACATTGTCAATGTCAATGTTGGGTTCTACATGGTTCTACAGGTTTAAGAAGTATGAAGTTAGTGTCTTCCGCCCCCAGATGTTCCATGTAGAGCGCACTCAAGTCTTAATTTCTCCCAGGCATCACTCGGGGAATATTCTGAAGATTTGGTGTAGTTGGCAGATGGGAGCCCTAACAGCCCAGCGATTTGAATCATTTCTGCTTCGTTATTTTGAGCCCCTTCTCCATGCTATTGCCATTGGGAGGAGCCTCGTGGAACAGGTGGCAGCAGAAGGAGCTGAGACTGAGAATTAGAGGATGCTGATTCAGCCCGCTGGGTTGACAATCAAATTGAGGCTGTGCCTGTTTGCATTCGTCAGCTGCGCAGTCCCCAGTGCATCCAATGCATGGAATTCAAGACTAGTGCCCCATGGTCCGGCCCAAAGGATGCTGGACCATGCTGCTGTGATGCTGTTGACAGCCGCTGCGGCATGGAAGTTCTGTGATCATTTCTACCTCAAACAACGTGGCAAGAGAATCGAAAAGAATCCCGGTGCTTCCGCTACCTGGGAGAGATGATTTTCGATTTGAGGTCTATCAGTGCAGAGCCAAGTAAGCGCAAAAGCATGCAAAAGCCAAAATGGTTTGCACCACTTTCACACTACCATCCCAGATACAGAGTCACATCATTCTCCAGAGTCTCCAGAGCTTATTTGGATCCCAAGACAACATTCCGAGATAATATCTCGATACAGTATCCAACGGTAGATACGATATCCCCAGCAGTCGTGCCACCAGGACCTCTTCAAGCACGTGGAAGCGATTTCCGTTGCCAGTGCCGGTGGATGGTTCATTGGTCAGCTGGCTTTCTCTCCACATTTTCTGCCGCTTGGCATAGCAGGATTTGATGTGAGGGGATGCCGTTCCCCCAACCAATCGCTTGGCTGATTCTCAGGGTCAAATTGTTGGGGATTTGCTGGGGTCTATAGTATTTGTTGATTTTGTTGTTGTCCGGTTAAACAAATTTTAACAACCATTTCTTGGGAGATGTACGTACTGTCTGCAGCATCCCGAGGAATTTGATCCAAACCATGGGAAACGAGCCCCACAAAGCTGGTGAGCTGTAACTCGGCGATGACTGAAGCCACTACAGGAGCATACATTTTTTTCCATTTTTTTTTCCCCTAGTTGTTTTGTGGGCATTGAATTGCCGAGACTCCTTAGGCGGATGAAACAAGGTCTGAATGTATAGTGAGGTTTTCAAAACAAGAGCCAAGTCAAGGTTGAGCTACAGCCTCAATTTTTTGATGCCTATAAAGATCCTAAAGTCAGGTACCAAAAAGAGTGGGTTTGGAAATTTCTGGTGTCCTTGGCGGTCGGCCGACGACCGGCCAAGCGAAGCGCCGATGAGATCGAGCGAGAGACCTGGCTGCGAGTGAATGACCCCCGAAAATCTTTCAGAATAAGGTAGTTTTAAGGGTGATACCGGAAAAACCATACGAAGCATTGGTTTGGGGGTAATCCCATGTTTGATGTGAAAATTCACTTTTTCAGTTGTTCAACAACTGGGTCGTTTCGCACTGGTCCTGAGGCGCAGGCCGAGATCGAAGCGTTGAGGGCTGACAAGAGCCTCTGGGGTGTGGACGAAGATTTCGTGGAACTCTTGGTGGAGCCCCTCGGTGGAGATAGTGTGTTCGACATGGGTTCCACCCGAAAATTTTGCATACGATACCCACTGCTAATTCAACATAGCTATACGGAAAATGGTCCATTTACTTCCATGATTTTCCTATTGCATTATTCTACGATCGTTGATTTTCCAGTTTGCAAATTGCTACGGTAGTCATTACCAGCGGGGCAATGCTATGCCAATGCGGATCTGCCTTGGAGGTTCTACTGGGTGACCAGCGATGGCGAGGACCGAACCTGGGAGGAGCTGATCGGGGATCTGATGGCAGCAACTGCAGGACGCGCGTGATGGGAGCGGATCCACGGAGCGGATCATGGGAATGCTTCAGAGAAGTGCTTGGGTTTTACCAAAAGCCAGTCATTGAATGTAATATTTATATATTATATATATACATATTCATATAATTCATATATATTCATATGAATATTATATAAATAAAAGCATAGATAACTAAATAAATAATAGATAATATATATATATACACACCATATTCTGTATTAATTGTATGGCTTCGCACACCGGCGATGCCCCACAGGTTCCTCCTGCTGCTGCTGCTGCTGGTGTTGTTGTTGTTGTTGTTGCTGCTGCTGCTGCTGGTGTTGTTGTTGTTGTTGCTGTTGTTGTTGTTGCAGTTGTTGCCGTTGTTGCCGTTGCTGCTGTTGCTGCTGTTGTTGCTGTTCTAAAGGCAACATTCCCATATTCAGAAAATCTTTGCATACCAAGTTTTCATCCTTCCAGACCTGGGTTTTGGTATGTTACTTTATTTCAGCTCAATGTAAAGGGAATGGTTCAGTGAAATTTTTCATGGTGTGAAAGCAGACTACACAAAACACTGATATGTCTGTCGAGGTTTGGGCTGGGATCGGGAATTTAATTTTTGGCCGTCTCTATTGGCCTTTCTACACGCATGGCATCAAAAATGAACGCGCTTGGAAGGGACCTGCGCACTCCACAGGCGTCATCGCACTCCACAGGTGTCATCGCATTCACCATACATGAGCGACACATTTTATTTGGTCAAATGGAGAGAAGTATTGGGCGTACCCCGGTTTGCCGCAAACATCATGATTAGGCCGAGCTACTCGTAGGAACACCACGAGAACGAGGTAGGCATCTCATAATGTAAAGCATTTAGCTACTAAAAACAAGCGCGGCGTTGGAAAACGAGGTCAGACCCCCAAAAACGCAGAGAAACGAGGTAGCATAAAATCTTCGTATTCAGGATGCGAAATTGATTTTACCTTATAGTATTTTTTACTACTTTTGCTTGCTATTTTACTACTTTTACAAGTAGTACCTGGGCAAGCCGGGGGTGGAAGTTTCAAAATTGAAACGGCTATAATTAGCTTATAGAGTGGAACAAATAGGTTGCTGGCAGGCCTTCTGTGCTTCGCAGCAACAACCTCTTGACTTTTCATTCCGGTGCCATCCCTTTTGAAGGTTGTTCTTTTCTCATTGCATCTGGTCTCATCGCATTGCAGCTTCTCTTGGAAATTGCTCATTGCATCCCGTTGTCACCGCAGTCTGTGTCATCCCATCTTATCTCATCTCATGTCGTGTCTTCTCAGCGTTTTTCGCTTCATCTCATCTCATCTCATCTTTTCTCGGCTCTTCTTAGCTGATCACAACTGTTCTTATCTCTTCTCATGTTATCGTAGCTTTTCTCATCTCTTCTCAGCTCATCTGAACTCTTCTATTTTCAGCTCTCCTTAGCTTCTTCTATTCTACGCAGCTCGTCTCAACTCAGCTCTTCACCACTCCCACTCCCAGCCTACTACCTACGACCTACGACCTACCACCAAACACCATGGCACGGTTGGGTTTTTCTTACGCGCGCTCACCCTAGCTGACGGTTGGGGTAGGCGGATATTAGATACATGTCGCATATGATTGAGTCTTATGTGGTGATCGATCTAAAGGTCCTCGTAAGGAGTTTTAATTGCGAAAGCCGTGCATGTTATGTTGCAAGCCCTCGCGAAAGTTTTATTTCTAGTTCGCGAAAGTAACATTTTTTTCCGCGAAAGTTGGATATTATATTCAGTATGTAAAGGGCTGTCACCCACCGCCGCCCGGGGTCCGGCAGGAGAAGGGCACCAGAGAATTTCGGTTTGGTTCTGGTTCAGTTCCCTGTGTGGCGGTGCTTTTGGACAATTACCTTGCCCTTAGTAGGTAACAACCGAGCTTCCAAAGGTGAGGCTTCGCGACCCAAACACCACGGTCCTGAAGCACATCCTTGCACCTGCCGCTGTCACTGCCTAATGGTGCTTTTTGAAGTCTCGAGAAACAAGCTCCACATGCAGCAGCCCAGTTTCCAAAAGTGAGGCATTGCCACCAAGGCCCCTGGTGTTCGTTTTTCCTTCAATGCGCCCCCCCTGCTGATGGCCGGGGTCTGTGAATAGGGATATTTTCGCGAAAGTTCCGCGAAAGTTCTGCGAAAGAGCGGGCGAAAGTCAAAATACATGTTGAAGGGGTTGGGTCATGCAAAAAACACCTAGTCAGCAACAATCTGCCGTGAGAAGGGATTCCGTGATGCTAGCTGCATGTTTAGAAGGCTATCAAGAAGTGATCCGCGATTCTCTGGCGTAATTTGGCAAGTGGTGACCGAATCTCCATAAGAGGCGTTGTTGCCCAACATGGGCCCCGTGAAAGATAAACATGGAGTTCGCGAAAGTTTCGCGAAAGTAACATTTTTATTCGCGAACAATGGCCGTCTGCGGATAAAGGAATTTTGATCAACAACCAGGTATATAAATATTTATAAATATTATAAATGGCTTATTTGAGTCTCTGAGACGATTGAGTTGTATTGAGTTGATGCCATGCAGGAGGTGAAATCACCGGAGCAACGACTCTGGGCTCACCTGTCACTGAGATGCAAAGATCAGAAGTCCCAGCGTCCCTCCGAGTAGTGGCTGCGATTTACCCCTGTTGTTTGATTATTTTGGGAGTTGTACTATACCCTTTACATATTGGGGATTATCTTCATCAATGAACTGGGAATCCCGCACTCAACCAACCTAATGGAATGATAGTGCTGAATTATCTGTGATTGTGCGATCAGTTTCGCATGCCAAAGGATAACCTCAAGTTGAGCATGGCAGGATCTTTTGGAGAATTCTGACGGTGGCGATCGGCAGCGAAATAATACAGTATGTTCAGATCCAAATATGTGTGATGAGAAATCTATCATCAAAATCTTAAAACATCATTGCAAATCCGCAATTGACAAACAAAAATAAACCTTGTTTGCTGCGCATTTCCAAGTCGCCATGATTTTGTCGTCAGATCTGAGGTGAATACCTGGGCAGAAGGCAAGAACTTCTTGATCGGAACGAGCATCACCACGCCCGGAGACACTGGCCCAGGGTCGTGTAACGATCGTGATGCGTCTGGATGGTTCTGTACCTCGGCCATAGCGAATATTGGCAGACAACCTTGACCTTCATCGACCGTGGTTTTTTCCTGAGGTTTGTTGCGATATGTTGCGATTTATATTTGTTTTTGCTGCTTCTTTTCTTGGAACTATGAACATGGTGAAAGAGTGAACTTGGAGGTTAGTCCCATCCCCCGTTCATATTATATAAACATCACCCAGAAACCATGGTCTAATAGGGGATTCACACATATTTGGGAACATCTAGGGTGTGTTTTGTAGGGGAGAATAGGATGAATAGGATTGCTTTGTGCAGCGTTGATTGTTGGGATATCCAATGGAGTTTGGTGGCCACCCTCGGCAGGTGTTGGGCCGCGTGTCCCTCAGGCGCTCTGACCGCTTAAAATGTGCAGGATTTTCTTCACCAAAAAAAACAGCAATGACATGTTCAAACCAACAGTCATGGGGATAGTTACTGAGTATTACTCCAGGGAAATGATATATTATAATATAAGATATAATAAACATGTATATCATGATAATTATAATTAATCAAACATCAAGAAGGCAGCCTTTCTTCCACTTTGAACCACAACGCAGTTGGGGTATCCCACCAGCACTTTCCTATGGTGGTGCCACACTATGCAGTTTACCGGGCAATATCAAACTCCCATTGATTTATGGATCACTGGATTGGTTGAAGGACAATCTTCACCGGAAACCATGGGTGTTCCCGATCAAAACCCAGGGGTTTTCTGATATTTGTTCCTCAAATCAATCCAACAATCCATGTTTTCCAGGAGTTTTGGCCCAGTTTTGGCTCTTGAATCACCCCTCAAGAGCCTCAAGGCCCTGATCTACCGAAACTACTCTGCCTTCGTAGCCTACAGTAGCAGGGCTGAAGGCGTCGATGCTCTGCCTATCGCAGTTTGGAGCCCTGCGCGCTTCAGCGTGAAAATGGGCAGTGGCCCAAACCAGCCACCGCCAATGAAGCTTGGGCTTGAACTGGGATAGCCGATGTGTAAGGAGTGGATAGGGGCAGCAAACTGGAGTTATATTCTCTGTTTGCTCTTGTCTCCAAGCTTGCCAAGCCTCTAAGCTAGTCGTAACGCATGGAGTATTTGCCCCGGAGTGATTTCTTTCAATGCTCCCGGTCACCCGGTGGTCACCCGGTGGTCACCCGGTGGTCACCCGGTGGTCACCCGGTGGTCACCCCAACCTTCCCAGGTCATTCTGCCATAGTTGCGATGGATTGGAAGTGACCTACAAGAGCACCGTGGATCCCCGTGGAGCTTCAAGGATGGTGGATAGTTTCCACTACAACAGCAACACTCCGTTGGTGGGCGCGGTGGCGGCTGGCTCGGCGTTCTTGGGTGAGCTGGTGGTGCTGCCTTTTTTCGATGCCCAGTATTTTAAGTCACTGGAAGAAATGGGCGGGTTAGTAGCGCCTACTGTAGCAGTGCAAGGGGTGATCTGGGTCATGGAGAATCACACTTGGCCAAACATGATGCTGCTATAACTTTGCTCTGAAAAGTCAACCACTCAAGATACGAGCTTGGAGTTTGACAGCCTGTGATTCATCAGATATCTTCAAGCAAAACACCCCCAAAAAAACCTGTTCTTGTTTCCGAAAAAATGGATTGGATGAGATGGTTACAGCCAAGCGATTTGAAGGTTGGCGGCTGAGAAGATTGCTGATCTGGTGGAGAAGATTCCCTTCGTGGGCGGCCGCTTCAGAAACTGGCTGGAAACCAAACCCTTCGATGCCTTGATGACTCAGTTCCCTTCAGCTGAAGAAATTGTATCAAGTCTGCGTGGAACAACACATAAAGATACTTAAAGCATCTTAAAGCATTAATTATATATATATATTATAAAACGTTTACTTTATAAAGCCCAAAGAAGCACAGTAAAAAAGACGTGTCGTGGTCGAAGCATGGGAAATTGGATGAAATTGGTGGACTCCTGGTTGCGAGATGACTGGAACTGTACACTGATGAGAAAATGTGATGTTATATATAAAACTCCCTGGCGGTATTCATGTTCGGCGTACCCCTCCTCATCAATCAATTAGCGGCTCTGACTGAATAGACAGGGTTGATTCGCACAGACTTCCTTGTTCTGCCTTGCGTCACCTCAAGAGAGGTTTCCAGTATGGGGCTTGACCGCGAGCAATGTCTCGACAAGCTTTCAAGAAGGCCAGGGTTGTGGGGTCCATGGAATGGCCTTCGCATTGGAACTTGACAATTGTAATTTGCCAATGAGCGTCACAAAATTAAATTCCGAAGTAATCATAAGTATGGCTACTGGCAATTGTTAAGAAGGTGCTCGCATTTAGCAAGGACATGCAAGGACATTTCCTGAATCTGAAAGCTCTGACTAACCCCTTCTATCGGGGGACCTTGGCATAGCATGCCACAAGATTCGTTCCTAGATGAAACGGGGTTTTGTGGAGGAGTCGCTCTCAGTATGATTCAGTAGCCGACTCAGCTAGTCTATCCTTTCTAGACCCAAATATGCCCAGATACCAAATCCGTTTGGATTTTTGCTCTTCTGATGGAATCTGATGGGTGCACCACATGTTGCCTATGGCCTATGGTTACTTCCACTTTTTTCGGGGCATCTCAACCCCATGGCCACGTGCAACGGCTTGCAACCGGAAGGGGCCTCCTTGGTTCGACATTTGGCTGAGACCGGAGGGAAGCTGAGCCCCTCGGTTGAAGCCGTTGGGATGATGTACAGTGGGACTGGCCACGCCATGACTGGATGGCTGAGGTGAGCAAGCATTTGAAAGCCTTGCTCAGCAACTCAGCTGCTTTTGGGGTCATCCTAGGATATCCTGGGATCACAATCTGCAAATACCTTGATATATGTCGATATATGTTGATATATGCTGATAATATCATATAATATCCTTTGCTAATCCTTTGCTGTCTTGGAGGATTTGTTTTTGGAGAGTCAAACGGGAGCTCAAGGCTTGCTAACTTGGGAACTCTCTGTGAATTCAATTGTTTGGTGCTCTTCATTCTCCATTTGTTTGTTGCCAATATATTTTCACTGGAAATGATCATGAGTTGAGCTGTTCTTTCAGACAAGATTCTCTTTAAAGGCACATTCAGCAGGCCCATGCGATGACTGCAGTCACTGGGCCTCGGACGCCTTGATTCTGTTGTTTTTTTACAGGCGACGGTTGTTGGCATTCGCTGATGGTGGCTTGGTGGACAACAGCGCCATTGGCAATGCAGTGGCCACAGGCGCCAATGCCACTCGGTGATGAGATGAATGAGGAGCCGGGGTATTTTGGATGAATTTCATGACGTGGCAGATTCCTTTTTGAGTCAGAGATCATGAATGAAGCAGGCTGCGGCAACAGTCGTGAGATTCCCTTTACAAGTGGATAACGTTACACTTCATGTTACCCTCTGGTAAACTAACATAACTATGGAAAATCACAATTTTCAATGGCTGCCTTGGGTAAATCCACTATTTCTATGGCCATGTTCAATAGCTATGTGAAATAATGATGGTAAGATATGGTATACCCGTCCCGCCGTCCCGAAGTCCTGGTCATGGCCATCTCCAAGCTGAGGACATTCTCCACATTACGTACAGTGGATTGGATAACTTGGAGCGATTGCTGGCCAAAGTGAGGACAGACAAACAGATCCTGAATCTGCTGCACCTGAATTTTTGCCCCTTCTGCTACGCGAACTTTCAGGATCCTTGCCGCAAGGAGCAAAATCCCTCAACTTCAACCATTGAAAATTTGGATGTTGATGGGTTTTTGACTGTTGGCACCGCTCACAAAATGCTTTTGAGGCTGACTCTTAGTACTTGTCATTACTTGTCAGACCTAGGCTTAGTGTGGAGTTCTGGATGTATACTGATACTCTGATGAATGCTTTTGGTGAACCTCATGTCCATGAGCTTGGTACCTTTTTGGATCCTTTGAAGTGAGTTGTCACACACGATTTCCTGCCATTTTTTCAGTCAGGTGTTTGCAGAGGATGTTCCGACCGTGCGGACCCTTGGCTCGAATAGCCTCCTCTTGAGGGTGCTGGTGTTGTATACATATGGTATCCTCTGCATTCCTCTGCAAGGATCACAAGATGTAACCACAGAATTTTTGGGGCACATCACAGGGTCGAGATTTTGCTGCGCAAGTCGTGCCAAGCTGTGGCCAACCTAAGCCGACCTAAGGGCCATGTACCCCACGCAATTGAAGTTCCTCCACGTGCACCACAGCTCGCAACTGAAGTCCCTGCAGATTGGCACGTTGAAGCTGACCACGGTGGATTGCCGGCCCTTTGCTCAGAAAGTGTCAAGACGCCTCAATGCCATCTTTTGCTCATGTAATTTACCATCAATAACTCAATGCTCCCCCCATTTTTGGGGCCTGTTGAAGGGCTCAAAAAGGCAAAGTTTGCACAACTTGACCCGTGAAGAGCAGGTGATGACTCCGTCAACATGGGTCAAGGGATGTTTGACCATGTTTGGTATTCTTAACATTTGGTGGGTTTGCATTAAGGCAGAGACATGTCGATACAATATCCAGACATGTTCAATTTCTTTTATCATGCAGATTTCGTACGCTCCCCTAGCAATCCTCGGCGTTCATCAAGTTGGATTCGGTTTAATATAAATGCCCGGCTGACAGTATACCCATGGCATCCCATGGCTTGAGATTTCTGGAAGTCAGCAACAGCAGAGGTATTTTGGCATTGAAGCTGGTCGAAGCATCAACGTGCAGCTCTGCTTAGTTTGCTTAGTTTGGCTATGTTTGGCTCTTTGTACCCCTATGTCTGTTGGTCAAATCCTCCAAGTTATTTTTCCGGGTCAAATCAAGTCCCAAGGTCACTTCATGAGTTTCCGTGATTGCTTCTTTTTTCACCCATCTTTGCCAATATTTCCAGATTTTTTCCAACTTTTCAGTGAACTGCTTTTCACCAACAAACAGTCTCCACACTGAGCCGAGCATGCTGACCACAGGCACGTCATCAGCGTGTCGAGTCGGTCAGGGATTGGAGGAATCGGCTATCAGACTTACAACACCTTGGTCCAAGAAATCGTCGATGCATTTCGTGATCCAATGAACAATCAGCTCTCCAGCGAGGTTTTGGGTTGGCTGATGTGAAACTCAAATGGCCCCAAGATGGTAGTGATGGTGTGCCGCGGATTGTAAAGCTGTGGTGCTGACGCCAATTGGGATTACTTTTATTGAACTTCCTCTGAGCAGTCCCCGGATGCGTCCCTGAAAAGACTTCGGGGATTCATCGGGAGATGGCAAGTAAAAAAGGCCACCTAGAGGATGGTGTAACAAGAGCATCCAACATGATCTAACCTTTGCCAGCATGTTTTGCCTCGACACGTGACCCCCTACAGTTGTATCAGTGGCTGACATGACCACTGCACTAGGTGCTCGTACACTACATGAATGGGATTGAATGGGCTTTGTTTGTGTGGTGAGAGATTACTTGGCAGCCGATGACAATATCAGCTGGGTATTGATGGATTCCGCAGCTGTCTTAGCTGATACGGCCCAGCTATTGACAAATCCAAGGTGAACATTGAACAGGGCCGAAGGTCGAAGTCACGTCACATCGCAGATGTCCAACAACCGGGCTATGCGCAATTCTTGTTACACAGGCACAGGCGCTGAGAGGTTGGATGCTTCAAAAACTCCAGTTCAGAGTGCTGGCCTTCAAATGCTAGGGTGAATGCGAGGTAGACATATAGAGCAGAATGCCTTTATTCCATCATCTTCCATCCATATCTATACCATTCAAACTCCATTGCATTTACATCAGACAAATACAGCACCTGCAAATCTGCCTGCAGCCGCCCAGAGGCGTCAGATTTGAGGGGTTTCAGTTGGGTATGGGCCACAATTGTGCAGACATTGAGAAGGACGGATATTGACCGTTGTATTGAAAGTCTATTTCTTGAGACCCTAAATTGAACCCTATTTTGAGAAACAACTTTCAAACTTCAAGACCTTAAAATGACTTAAAAACATGTTCTGCATCCCTGTTTCGGACAATTCAGGGCAACCCCAACAGCACACTCCATCTGCAAACGTAGTCAACGACGCCAGGAGGCAAACCCTCAGCAGCTTCAGTTTTGAGAAGAAACACACAAATATATTATAGTTTTTGCATGTTTTTGCCCATATTTGCAAGTGGATGGTCAGTGAGCCTCTCTTTCGAGAAACAGTTTGTGGTTCTCCACATTCCAACAGGGCCACTGTCGTTCCAAACTTACCATCCAGGTATGGCGGCACCCAATGCTTCCTCGGAGGGACATCATGTGATTTTGTCACCTTACCGCTTCGACGCCAATGAGCTGCGGTGGTTGCCCACTGGGGAAGCAGCGGCCAAAGTGCGCATGAGCAAAGAGGCCCGGGACGGCCCGGGATGGCAAGAGCTTCTCAAGTGCAAAGACACAAACTCGTTCCCACCAAAAGGACCAGAATGGACCAGACTACATTTAGTGAGACATTTGAGATTTGAGGATACATACATGGGGATGGGTCAAAACCCTGGTACCTAGTGAACCCCAAGTCATAGCTGGGATTTATGGATGTTCATCCCCTAATAAACTGTATCTATAGGTATTGACCCATACCCACATTGAAGACATTTGGATCAGCTGTAGGCAGCCAAGAATTGGCGCTTGGTCCTGGGAAATCAGAGCGTGGCGTTGTCGGAGATCCGCAGCACCTCGATGCTGTCGCCCAACTTCTTGGCTCCTCGGCTGTGGCCAACATCTTCCAAGCTTGGAACATGGAACCGCTCGTTCAGAGTCTGTAAGAGACGTATCATACATAATACATTGATATAATTATATCATATATATATATACTGTATATATATATATATTATAATATTATTCGCGAGGATTTGCAGAACAGAAAGTCAGAAGGCAGAAGATCCGGTTTCATGGGTGTCTATGCATACCACACATGCAACGTACTGCAAACTGCCAGCAAGATCTGCCACGCCTTTGGATTACGAGCGCTTCGAGCAGTACGATCAGAGCAGCTCCTTGGCTCATTTGGGAACGCAGCTATCAGCGGGCCCAAAGCATTCCACTTATGCGTCACCACAAAAAAAAACCTCCTGAAGTCTTGCGATTGAGGACATTTCGAGGATCTTACTCTACAAAACTGATCAAAACTGTTTCTTTAAATGGTCACATATGTCACATATGCAAACAAACATCTTCAAACTTTCAGACCTTTCTTGAGACCTCGATGGATTTTTCCATGGATTTTTCGTTCCAAACTATGGGACTCTGCCAGTAAAAAATCACTGAATTCATCTGAGTTTTCACTGAGGTGTGCAAAGCTATTTCCAGTACTATGCCAAGTTGGCCAACCAACAAAACATGCTTCAAGACGGAGTACGAACCTCCACCTACAACCGAGCCATTGCTGGGAAACTTAGCTTTTTGGAAGGCAGACCAAAGATGTTCTGTGGATGGGAAGCCCAAAGATGAGAAGCCCGGAAAGATCCGGAAAGTTGTTGCAACTTCTCTTGAAGTTACATGAAGTCCGAAAAAAATTCACCACTTCGAACTTCAGACCTTGATTTTAGATCGCTCCAGCCCTCCAAGACCATCCAAGACACAAATCCATATGCCACGGCCGTGTCTATGTCCAGCCTCAGGTGGAAAATGTCGATGACTTTCAAGGGAAGTTGGCCATGGATTTGGGTGCAGGAAGTGGCATCCTTTCCTTCTTTGCCGTGCAGGTGACCATGGGTTCATGGCGGGGATGAACATCTATACAGAACCAGCTATAAATTTGGGACTTCAAGAGGCTACCAGGCTTTGGACCCCATACCCAATGATGTCTCAAAATGCAGATACCTAGTTACCTATGAACATATACAGGCCATGATCATAGGTAAAACATGTAAAAACCACGATTTTCCATGGATAAAACATAGTAAAACACATGGGTAAAACATGGTAAAACTATTGGATTTATTTTATTTGTGCCAGGCAGGTGCCGAGAAGGTCTACGCGGTTGAGGCGCGGCGGCTTGGGGAGGCTGGCATGATTTGGTCCTTGGCGGATTTATATAGATGATACAATCCATGTATGGTATATGAAAGTATATATCGATAATATATAGCTAATATGTAGATAATATATTGATAATATGTAGATAATATGTACTAGTAGATAATATATATATATATAATTATATATAACATATATATATACATATATATATACATATATATATATAATGTATAGATAATCCACATATTGGCATAGGTTGCCAGACAATATGATGTCTGATGTATGGTATGATTGTATATATGATATATGGATTATGATATGTATGATGTGTATGATGTATTTTTGTGTACAATGTATTTTTGTGTACAATGTAGACTAATCAAAGGAAGTTTAGAAGTCAAACTTCCGACAATATGGACAGACGAAAAAGCAGAGGTGGGAAGAGTCAGAGAAGAGAAGAAGAAAGAAGATCAGAGAAGAGAAAGAGTGAGAGGAAAGAAGATGCAGGTGCGCGAACAGGTAGAAAAGTCGCGAAACACTGTGTTTTTCCAACAGACAGACAGACAGACAGACAGGCAGGCAGACAGACATACATACATATGGTGCATTGTCTTGAACATCTTTCGTATGCACATGCAGATTCGGGCTTCCATTTGGGGGGCGTTTTTTTTTTTTTAATCTTGCGTTTCTTTTGCTTATAAAACCTGGCGAGAGACGACTACTGCATTGAACACTGCATTGGGGGGTTTGCGCTTGCTGGACCCAATTGATACTGCAACCCTACAACAGCCCTGCTCATCATAATCATCATCCCCATTTTCATCCTCATTCTCATCCTCAGCATCCTCATCATCCTCATCATCCTCTTCGTCCTCATCATCGTCGTCATCAACTCATTCCTGTTACCATCACTTTCGTCATCATCAATTTTCTTCATCGTTATGGTCAGCAGCCTCATCAACGTCAAAAGGTTGGCACTGTTTGTAACTTGCAGCCGTTTGTGACTTGCAGCAACTCCAAGAAGCCGCGTGAGACCGTTGCTGCATTCCGACTTCACCTTGCTGTTCCCCGTGTACCATTACCACCCTACCCCAGCCCTGCTAGCTTTCGTACCTTTTCGCTGGCCTCAAGTAATTCTAGGAGCTTCAGTCTTGGGTGGCTGTGGTCAGCTTGCGAGCGGGATTGAGTGCTCCAACCAAACGCCATGATGCCCCCAGGAGGGGTATATAATCATGTTGCCCTGCCCTGAAGGGGGTGTATACTATCCATGATCAGTGTAGAAACTTCAGTCTGGGGCTGCATGAGGGTTTGGCAAACCAAATGCATAAACACATGTGGAAGCGCCAAGCTTTCTGAAGCCCAAAGGATGTTAGACTCAGGGTGAACGTTGAAACAGCAACTTCGTCAAGTACACCACATTTCTTTTTGTTGACCCTTCGAATCACCCACTTTTGCTTGTCACGCAACGCCTCGCCCCGCAGGTGAAAACCCTTGCCGTTCAATTGCCAGAAACTTCAGTTTGGGGCTGCATGAGAGTTTGGCAAACCAAATGCATAAACAAATTTGGAAGCGCCAAGTACATAAATATGTTGCAGCTTTCTGTGCCATTGGGCTTTGTGTGGGCATTGGGCACCATTTGGCAGTTTGTGCCGGTTCCATTAATTAATTGCTTTCACATATTTCCACATTGCAAACCTTATAGTCACCTTGCCCCGTCGTTTCGCACACAAGACGGCCAAGAATCTTATTCAGACCCTTTGTCATAATGATCCAACGCACCGCCTGGCAAGCATTGAAGGAATCCAGGCGAGTTCATTCATGAAGGATTTTGGCTGGGAACGCCTGGGGTCGCCTCTCACAAAAAAATCAATGTTTTCACCTTCGGAACTTCTTGGTTTCTTATTTATTGGGAAGCAAACCGCGTGAGGTCCCATGTGCCAATTTTTTTTGTAGCGGGTGTGTCGAACCCAGGACTGTGCCCATCACAAAGAGCCCTGTTTCTGACAAAGTTCTGGAACAGTTGGGGGAACCTTGCGAGTTGCCTGTGGTCGCGGCTGCAAGCTCTCCGCGACAGGCTCAATTGAATGGAGCTCAGCAGAAGGCACAAGCCAAATTTCTGAAAAGATTCCAGAAGAAGTGATGTGGACCGAATGGGGAGGTGGAGTGGTTTTCATTTTTTTTGGCTACTTTGAATAGCTGTAGCTGCTGGATAAAAATGGTCCGTTCTGCTTGATCAAGAGTGCCGCTTGTATCAGATGATGTTGCGCCACATCGCCAATTGGCCATTGCCAGCTGTTTGGCTCGCTAAAGTGGCGCGTGCAGAGCCATCTGGATGAGAGATGGAAAATTGCACGCTGTTGTGGCGCGAAGCACATTTGGAAGTGTAAAAGCACCTCACGTCCGGAGCAGTTTTGAAATTGAGATGTCGAAACGAGTTTTGTGGCGCGAAGCACATGTCGAAGTCAAAATGCACAAAACTCCTCAGCCTCGGAGCACTTTTGGAAGTTGAGATGTGCACGCTGTTGTGGCGCGAAGCACATTTCCAAGTCAAAATGTTAAAAACACCACATGTTCGGACCACTTTTGGACGTTCAGATGTCGTTTCCCGCGGCAGGCGCAAGGGATTGTGCACCTTGTCAAAAGTGAGCAAACGTGAGGGTTTTGTAGCAGTTTCAAAGGCGTTGGCAGGCGTGGGACATTTGAATTGAAGAGGATCTGCAAAGATGCATTTTCCGTGGCAGGCGCAGTACAAGAGACATGCTCATCAGAGATGTTAGGAGGTCCGGGCGCTCAAGACGCAATGGTACGAGGCCGTCAGCTCTGGATTCAACTTTCCATTTTTGAAGGAAGTCTTCGCAGAATTGTTTCGTTTTTGATATTGTCAACTTGAAAAATTGAGGAAGTCTCGCAGAATTGCTTCCTTTTTGACGTTATCAAGTTCAAAAGTTGAGAAAGTCTCGCAGAATTGCCGCGCTTCTGTTGTCAATTTCAAAAATTGAGGAAGTCTCGCAGAATAGCTTCGTTTTCAAACTTGCAGATAGATAGATAGATAGATAGCTAGATAGCTAGATAGACAGCTACAAGTACAGTTAATTGCAACTACAGTTAATTGCAACTACAGCTACAACTACTTCTGCAACTACAACTACAACTGCACTACACGCCACTACAGCTACAACTACCCTACAGTACACTAATTACACTACACTACGGCAATTACACTACACTACACTAATTACACTTTGCTACACTACACTAATTACACTGCAACTATAGCTACAGCTGCAGCTACTATGACTGCTACAGCTACAGCTACAACGTCAACTACAGTACATCACACTACCCTACGCTACACTAGTTACATTACACTACACTACACTAGACTACAGTAGACTACAGCTACAGCTACAACTACAACTACATTGCACAACACTACGCTACACGAATTACACCACACTACACCACACTGCACTACACTGTAACAGCACATGGCATTACATTACACTGTACGCTACACTCATTATAGCACACCACAGCTACATCTGCAACTACACTACACCGGCGCTCAGCGCCGAAACCGTTTCGAAACGTTCCGTTTGCACAGAAACTTAGGCTAGTAAGAGTCATTCGCGAGCCCCGCAGCGTGCTGATTCCAGCACGTCGGTCTAAGAGAGGTCAGGCGTTACATGGGTGGCTCAATAGGCCCGTATGCCGGACCAGTCTCTTCTTCGGCCTGGACGGGATAGTGCACGCTCCGCAAGGCCGGTGCAAAGTAAGATCCCCACCCCCTTGGGCAGCTTTTTTTGGGGGGGGGTCAAAAAATGTAAGTTACAAACAAATAGGGGGGACCCCCCCGTCAAAAAATGTAAGTTACATTTTCGCGACCCCCTAACTTACATTTTTTTGCCCCCCCCCCCAATGAAAAAATAAAAAATGAGGGGGTCAAAAAATGTAACTTCCAATTTGTGACCCCCCCCTCATTTTTTAAAAATTCACGTTTTTTTCTATTTTCCAGGGGGGGGGCACGGGGGGGGACGTGCAGATCGAATCATCTCAAAATACCCCGAGCAATTTTTAATGATAAAATATGAAGTAATATGAAATAATATGAAAACCACTACTATTCTTGCTGCTATTATATACTCTATTACTACTATTAATTCGTATTAATATTGCTGCCACTAGTACTACTAGTACTACTAGTACTACTAGCACTACTATTTGGTACTATCTTGTGCTACCTTATTCTGTTTCTATTCATTTTTATACTATATTCTGCTGTTCCCGGTTTGTTTGGATCATGCACCATCTGCAAGATTGCCTGCAATATTGTTGCTGATGCTGTTTGCATCTGCTTGCTAGATTTCATAAGCGCTTACCTTAAGGTCACGGTCTTCATGTGTTTTTGCAGAAATTTGGAAAACTCCCCTGCAGCTACTTACATTTTTTCATACCAGGCAATCCCAGGCAAAGTGCGCAATGTAACATATTGTAACATTGGATCTGACATTTTCTTGCATGATCTTGCATCAACTTACATGTTTCACGCTTAAATAGGGAGCATCAAGAACCACTGGAAACCATAAGAAACTTCAAGAAACTATATATTATATAACTATCAAAGGAACTTGTCAATATTTGTGAATGTCGGTGGTGAACCCATACCAATCTTAGTCATCTACAGTGATCTAGGTGCCCCATGTCGTTCTCAGCAGATGCTCCTT